CTTCTCCCTTGAACCAGAACCCTAAACTTTATAGCCTAAAAACCTATCTAGACCCCTAAATCTTAGGTTGTTACCTCTCGAAGCAACAAGAATCCGGCGACTCTTGGTGTTCCCAACCGCTTCGAACCCACGGTGAGATCTTCTCTCTCTCTCTTTCCTTTTGTTTTTATGCTTTGATTTTTTTTTCTTTTCTTCTGTAAAACCCGAATGGTCTCTCTCTTTTTTTTGTTATCACCGCCTCCCCCTCTGTTCTCTTTGCTTCCTTCCTTTTATCTTGCTTTGCATGTTGATTTTTTGCTTCGTTTGGTGAGATGATGATGTCTAGAATAGCCCATGGCTTTCTCTGATTTTGCAAGATATAAATCCCGAATATTTAGGGATTTATTGGTATTTTAATTTGGGGTTTGGTTTTTGGTTGATTTGGTCACTGTGGGTGTCACTGTAGGTGGATGTTCGGTCACTATTCATGCAGGAGAACAGTCGGCGGCGACGGGACATCTCGGCTTGGTGGCTCGGTGGCTTGGTGATTGGCTCACGGCTGGGAAGCTGAGGAGTTGAAGTCGGCGGCTGCCATTAGGGGATTAGGGTTAAAACCCTAATTTGTTTTAGGGTTTGAAACCCTAATCTGTTTTAGGGTTTGAAACCCTAATCTGATGGGTTAGTTCAGGGTACTGGGCCATTAGGTTTAGCTAGTTGGGCTCCGGGAATGGACCTTCTGTAATCTGGGCTTTAGTGGCCTACAAAAATTGTAATATGTAATTAATAAACATATAATAATAAATAATAATAATAATAATAATAATAATAAATAATATAAATAATAATAAAAAAGACCCGGACAAAAACGGGTGTCTACACAGCCAGTGAATTGATAGGTAAATAGCGTGGTTAGGGCCTCTGGAATCTCTTTCTTTCTTTTAGCTTAGATGATTGCGTGCTGGGGTCAAACTACACCATATTTACTCATGAAATCCTTCCGAATCTATGATGATGAAGTGGTATCGACTATTAAACAACATGTGAGCATTTATGTGATTTCTCTTTTACATGTCTTTCTAGGTTCTCAATCTAATTTCATGGCGAGTTTACGATTTTTCATCATTTATATATAATGTAATGATGGATTAATTTGATTGAATATAAATTTATTGAGTGACCTTAATAGTTAAAGATAATGTTGTTCTCCTTAGAGGTTTTGAATTTGAGTAACTGCGTCTGCAAGATGTGTGGACGTTGTCAATAATTGAGAAATATTTTGAATAGATACTATGTTGTAGTCATTCCAGACTATTTCAAAAAATGGACCGAATATTGTAGAGATTCATTGTAGGGGGCGATCATTTCAATATAATTTGCTACATTCACAAAATTAAGATTTGAATATGTGACTTAAGAGGGTTCGTTATGAGGTAATCATACCAATCTAGTTTGAATCTTTAACTTTATTTAAAAGATCTAATCATCTAATGTATTGTCTCATTAGATTAACTATATCTTATTTATTGATTTATTAATTTGAATTGAATATTATATTAGCTTATAGGGACAATCCTCTCAATATATTTTTTTCACTCACAATATTATGGACTATTGAATTTACTTAAAAATTGCTAGATAAACTAGAAATTAGTTTTAGATAATAAATTTGAATACAATAAATTTCCATTCATATAATATTTTTCTTAAAAATAATGTAATGTAAAAACATTTTAATATATCATCCATCTTAATACTACTCTTATTCGAACACATTTAACTAAAAAATTAATAGGATTTGATGCATTAGGCTGATATAATCACAATCGCATTCCCCTAATCTTTATATTTACAAAAGTCTTTGTTTTAAACAAAATTATAATTATGTTTTTTTATTCATATCCACTTCTTTTATCATTATTTTCAACCAACATGTTTTATTTATTCAGAAAAAAATGATATTATATGATTAATAAATGGTACAAAATATTTTAAAAAAATTGAATTCCAACTTTCAGTTTTTAAATATATTATTACTATAAAGTTAGATGCCGAATTTTCTTTGGGTTTTTTATTTTATGAAATACGTCAATACAAATATTTTTTCATTTAATTTATAAAAACGAAAATTATAAAAAGAACGTTAAAGTTATTTTATCAAATCATTAATAAAATATTTGGGTTATTAAATTTCAGTTAATAAATAGCCAATCAAATAGGATAAAAATCTAACCTACACACACATATATATATATATATATATTAATTTTGTTACAAGAAAAAAATATAATAACACTTATTAAATATATAAAATTGTTGAATATAAATATTATAGTTGCATTCTGAATCCAATTTTAGTAGTAAAAGAAAATATTGTTCTTCCTTGAGATTTTTGGTTCGAGCAATTGCGTCGATAGTATGTGTTATGTGTGCGCGTATTCAATTGTTTAGAAAAATTCTAAACATATATTATCGTGTAACAATCTCATACTGATAAAAAAATATATTATGTTTGCATTCAAAAGTAAGACATTCGTTCCATTTCTTGAAAACCCTTTTTTATATATTCAACATGGGATTCCTTGAATTGAAGTCAAATCAGCAATTGGTGGCTGATGGGCGATGGACCCAAGCTCCAACCCGAACAACCCCTACGTATGACCCTGTTTACTGCCTCCACTTCTCATCTATTCAATTATATACATTTTGACCCCTAAAACCCAACAAATTAGTTAATATAGTTTAGTGTTTGATAAGATAGATAGGGTAGGCATGATGCAAAGTCATATGCCATACCACCCTCAACGCCCATTAAAGTTGAAGCAAACCCTAAAAACTTAGCTACCAAGGATTTTCACAAATTTGCTTTTGAAAGTGCTATACCATCCTTTTATCAGACAAGTGCCCCACTTTTGCCCCCCAATACACATTATTTTGTGCCACCAAATATGCTTTTCGAACTTGTGTGTTGTTCTTCTACTCTTGTTATGTTCAATGTTTTCAATCCAAATTTAACCGCATTCAAAGTTGAGAATTCTTATTCATATTATTAAAATAGAATGTTAAACATAATGATCGTATAATAAAATAGATATCAATATTTTAAATGAAATATTTAATTTTTTTTACAGAAATAAAGAGAAAATTTTCACTAATATCGAAAATAGAAGAATACCAAAAGAATCTCCATGACCAACATGACACATAAACTTAACCCCTAATGTCTATTTATAAAGATAGTTAATTACAAAGGAAACTCGCATGGTAAGAAATCTACTCAAATTATGTTTTTTACTCTCGATCAACATAAAATAGAATAGATTTCTTACTTTCAATCAAACCAAATTTCCTACTTTCCTCAATGAATTTGAATTGAGTCGGATATTATATATTCAAATCAAAGTCTAGCACATAACGTGACCAATGGGCAAAAACCCTAAATTCATAAATGATTTGAATCCGATTCCATAATTAATATGAACCCAGACATACCCTTAAGGTTCGGATTTTGAAATCCACTAGGTCCTAGAGAAAGGGACAAACATGTGAACCAAGAAGAGAAAACAGAAGGTGATACTTCTTTATCATATTGAAAATCCATTAGCCATGTCAACAGATCAGAGTCATTGTTATGAAGAAATGAAGACAGATGAAACATAAATTCACGGGTCTCATTTGAGCAAAACCTCAACTTCATCACGTCAAGGTTTTTTTCTCCTATTGAAGTCCAAAATGCCTTTCACGTCCCTATAACAGCCAAATGAATGGTTTAGGCCAATAATTCCAAACACAAATGCACACATAATACACAGTGAAACATCTCCCATAACACTTTGATATTTACTGATATGGACCTTCACCGTCAGGTTGCAGAAACGCTAAGATTAGGGTATAAATGAATCGAGATTGAACGAATAATATTGTGTTCGCCAATTTATTTTTGAAGATGTTCATGTTCAGTTCGTTTAGTTTTCGCAAATATGTTTATTTATATGATACGAGTCTCTGACAACCAACACTCTCTTTTTTACCTTTTTATTTGCTAGTCAAAGGAAATGATGAAATTATGCCACTAGTCCTTAAGTTCCTTAGACTCTATAGTTTGAACTCCAAAGTTTAACCTATGTTCAATTAGTCTCTACCTTCACCAATATTCAAAACGTAAAAAAAAAAGAAAAAAAAAAGAAAAAGGAGAACCGATAAATGAACTTATAAACAAATTGATAAATGAGTTTGACCGTGAACAAAAACGAATCGAACACATTTATTAATTGAACATAAAAAATTTGTTTAAATTTATTTATTTAACTTAATAAACAAACATAATTGAAAGTTATGTAAACAATTTATGAATAATTCATCGAACATCCTATTCATTTAAACCCCTAATCAATACGAACAAATTCCGATAAGCTAACTTCAAATATCAAAGAGAAAACTTCTTTTGGGTCCTAAGCTTTTTTTAATCCACCCATAGGCTACAATATTAAAGGCCCAGACCAAGCCCACTTCATGAACTTGGAAATGGTTAACATCAGCCATGCAAGGCGTAATTTCCTGGAACTGTATTCTAAATGCACGTTTTATAGCATTCCTAAAATTATAAGTCCATTTTTATCATAAAAAGAGACAAAATTCAGCAGACTTTGTTTGATCTTCAAAACAAAACTTAGATAGTACCAACAATTGATGCATCAAAATCATTTAGGAATACGATATTTTAACATACAAATAACACAAACAGGAACAAACTGTTTCCAAAACGGCTGCTATTGCGGTGTTCAACTATGACTTCCCCTTGAAAATTAACCTAAGAGTGAATGGAAATACTTATAGCATATTAATAATTCCATGTTTGAAAATCAACTCTATTTTATTCTTTTATAATTGTTCCTTAGTCTAAACCAACGGCATTTAAACCCGACAGCTGTTCTTTTAGTTTCGTTATATATAATCTTTGTTGCACTCGTTGTTTCAACAGCACAAGCAACTCGAAGGGGGAGTAAGATATGCGGTGTTCACAGGAATGTTTCGAGTACTGCTCGAGGCTCGTCGTCTTCGTCTTGCTTCTGTTAGCGTTGAGAGCTTCCGTCGGAGGATGCATCCGGCCGATAAATGAAGGAAGTACGAGTTTAGGACATTTGTACAGTGCTCAACTTCCTCGAGGACCTGTGCCTCCTTCAGGGCCTTCTCCGTGCCACGAAAAGCTTGGTCCTTATGATCAGAAACAGTTCTCTTATCCCCATGGTTTTATCTTGTGTCCTTGAATTGATCACACAATCTTTTATTTTTCCTTTCATTTTCCTCGAATTAATCACTTTTCAGAAGTGAGTTTTTTTGGAACAAGATCTTATTATTTATTTGGTTAAACTATGTATTTAGTTATTTAATTATTATTTTAATTTTATTTTGATCACCTAACTATTTTTTTAAATCATAAATAATATTATGTTTTATTTTCATTTTAGTCACCTATCGTTAAAGAGTAAACATAACTATTGACATGACATTTTTCACTACCCTAATGCCTAATGCTATTGCCTACTGACTATATTATTGATATAACAAATGTATCATTGAGTACTTCTCTTTTTTTCATCATTGGTGTATGGTGGAGTTCAAGAGCAAAGTTAGAAGTTGTTTTTAAAAATGTAATTTAAATTATAACTTTTTAATAAAAATTTTACATAATTTTATGATGTATTGTTATACAAAATTTGGATCAAATCCAGGATACTATCAACTGATATAAGAAGATACTCTGATTCTAGTTAAAATGTTATAGTAATCAATATTTGAGTAAACTTTGCATCCTATACAAGCTTCCATAAGATGCATCTAAAATATAAATAGAAGTCCCAAGCAGATAATTACAACATTTACTCATCCCTGGCAACAAATGAAAAGAGCTGGTTCTGTGATCAAGCTCATATCATATGCAAGCTCAATTCCAGCACGCATAAATCCGAAAGCACTCGAAAACTGATATGATCGCCAACTTCTAGTTCATCACCCTTAAAATTCCAGCTAATCACCCAGTATAAGCTGTTGGATTCTGGAATTCCCATGAAATGTTTAGAATATGTCCACTTTGTACCTTTGGTCTGGTTCACAACTTCAAGGCATGGTAAAAATTCAGATGTTTTGTCATTGTTGGCAGAAAGAACGATGATCGAATTCAGCAAGTAGCTAGTCTTTCGACTCGAGTTCGGGAATGGGGTCATGGATATTGAGACCTCAGCCTTGCCAGAATGATGGCCAAAGTAACGGCCGTAGTGGTCGAATGGCATAGGGGGAAATGCTGTAATTATGCCACAATCATACAGTACCTGCAGCATTGAATTATAGAATAAACTATCAAGAAATATAGTATATGACTCTTTTTTTAAAAGCTTAGCAATTGAAAAGGAAACCCGTGGGGAAGTGATCACAGTTGATTCTTCTAAATAATTGCAGACTTGCACTTTAACGTTTTCAATGTAGTCCAAACCGAGTAAATCCTTTGTTAAGTCCATCTTGCTGTTTCTTGTGGCGCACTCATCTCCTGAAAGATGTAATAATAGTGTGTTGTTTATGAAAGGAAAATCATCTGATATACAGATTATATAAACTTTAGTTTACACAAGTTCGTCTATTTTAATGTCATAGGTGTATACCTGGAATTACGTTTGTAAAGTCATGTTGATATGTAAGTTTTTCTCCTGATTCATAGGTAACACCGAGTTTTCTTATGCCGAGATGAATAGACGCCACCGTGCAACTCATAAGATCACCACCTTCTAACTGGAAATTCCTTGTTGGCCATGCATTAACCACAACATTGTGTTGCCATTACTCTTAGGAACTCCAATGAAACTTGAGCGGTAATTCCATGTGATCTTTTGGTCTCATTAGAAATGCACACACTCGGTAGAAGGTCCAATGGTTGACTGATGACGGAGAAGACGATGCATAAGCTGAACCACTGAATCTTTGTTTTGGATTAGATGGCGTTGGTAAAGAAAAGGGGATTTTCTGCTCATCAATGCTATGCTTAAATCCAACAGGAACTTCACTTCCTATAACAAATGTGCTAGTTATACCGCATTCCTGCAACACCTGGACAACAAAAATTGTTACATAATTATGAATGTATTGATTAAGTAATCGACTAATAGTAGAATATTATACCTGTGGGGTGACAAGCCTCATTCTATCGATCACAAAATTATAAAGTTGCACTCGGTTGTTGTTGATGGAATCCACGCTGAATAGCCTAGTGATCTCTTCTGCTTCAAAGTTTTCAATCGGTTCTATCTTGAACATCTCTTGAACCTCAGTCAATTTCTCACATCCAAAAATCCCACATTGTTTGGAAGGAAAAAAGAAGGATGGAATAATTGACAGATTAAAGGGAGATACTGTCATGAAAGCCTCTTTAGAATTCGAAAAGATTGGAAGCTTTGGAATCACTTGGAGATCAGTGCAACAGTTCAATATAAGTTCATCGAGTTTCGTAAGGTGTTTTATGCTCTCAGGCAGACAATGAAATGAGTTTCTACTTAGACTCAAATACTTCAAGGAAGCTAAGTTACAGAGATCATTAGGCATGGCGTCATCAGATAATCTGCAACTTTCCAGACTCAACTTTACCTAAGAGCACGGTAAAGATGCCCAAGAGAAACCCAGTTCTTTGCTTCTTTTCAACAAGAGATAAGGCAACCAAAATCTTGTTTGATATATATAAGTTTCATCTAAGCTAAGAACCTTCAATGATTTCATATCATGCAACTCAGTAGGAACATTATCAAGCGTTGAACCAGATAAAATGAGCTCTTCAAGTGATATTAATGAACCAATTGTCCTTGGAAGTTTCCTTAGACTTTTGCAATCTTTAAGGGTCAAGAAAGTAGGCATCTTTAGCTCACCAATGGATTGATCAACTTCCACCAATTTTATGCAATCTTTGAGCTTCAACTTCTCAAGACTAGGGAGTCCTGACAAGTTTGGGGTTCTGAGAAGACTGTGAATGACTGAGATTAAGGATCTTTAAATTTGGGACAAACTGCAGCAAAAAAGGGAAAAACACACACTTCTTTTAGAACTATATTATTGTTCCACACACCCAAAAAAGGGAAATTACCAAGTATCGTACCTCTTTATCCTTCCAAACTTGTTTAAGATTATTGTAGCGCATGTCGAGAACAACCAATCTTCTGATATCGAAATCTGCAGGAAAAAATTGCATAGGAAATCCATGCCAATGCAAGCATATTAATCTTTTGGGGAAGTCTTTGAAATCTCCTTTGAGTTTTACATTATCCAGTTGAAGTAGCTTCAGTCTTTGTATCTTCACAAAGGCTTGAGTTTTCATATCAACATCATTCGACAAGAGAATTTGATCTCCGGAACGCTTTGGGAAATGCAGAGTTGTAGTTTCAGTCTTTCTAGACTTATTTTCTAGCAATCCTTGTAGGTCCAGGGCAAGGCACTTGATTGTTTTTGAACCCTGCATCAAAAATATACTTAGTTCAATAAAATTCAGAAACAAAAACACCAGCAGAGTAAAATGAAGTTTCTTACAGTCTTTTCTCTTATTACATTGAACGCGTCCTTATGCCACAACCTGCTTCGTTCTCCGATATCAGTCGATTCTTGAAGAATAATTTCCGTCCCATGTCTCTGATCATTTGATGCATCATAAGCTGGTTTTTTTCATTAATTGTTAGCAGAGACCAGGCTATTATATTCTCGATCCAGATCATTGTATAGAAATTGTTAGGTATGGCTCATAAATATACCGGTAAAGAGAAAGTCTTATAGTGGAGGTTATGATTATGTGGGTTGGGGGTGCGGGATGCAGCCCGCTGTACGGTACAAGGTTATTTTTGTAAATACATACCAGGGTTTATTTATTATAAAAGAAGATGTAATATAAACCTATGAGACATTGAATTAAATAAAAATTCTAACACCGCCTAGGGCACCGAGGACGTAAGCACATTATTGAACCTCGTTAAAATTCTTGTGTTCTTTTTATTTTCTCTACCCGATTTTTTCAACAATTGGTATAAGATGTCAGTAGACAAATTCGAAGTTGCGAAATTCGATGGTGAGAGTAACTTCGGATTATAGCAAACAAGGGTGAGGATCTGTTGGCGCAGCAAGGGATCCTGAAGGCTTTGCGACCTACAAAGCCGATGTCAGCGAGCGGCAGGAACCATACGATTATGTTTGGCAGACGAGGTCATGTATCACGTCATTCATCTGTCATCTCCAGATGAAATTTGGAAGAAGTTGGAAAGTCAATTTATGTACAAATCCTTAACGACTAAACTGTATCTAAAGCAGCGGCTGTATGGGCTGAGGATGCAAGATGATCATGATTTGGCGTAACACGTGAATGTCTTCAATCAAATCGTTTATGATTTGGCTCAGCTTGATGTGAAAATTGAGGATGAAGACAAAAGCGATGATTCTGTTGTGTCGTTGCCTCCCTCTAACGAACACATGGTGACTACTCTTACATATGGGAAAGAGACTATCAAAGTTGAGGAGATTACTGCAGCCTTGTTGGCTCACAACCAGTGGAAGCAGAATGCAGTGGAAAGCTCTCAAGCTGATAGCTTATATGCAAGGGTAATCGAGACTGTGGACGGAAGCCAGAGAAGGCAGGGTATGGGAAACAAAATTTCATATCCAAATCTAAGGAGAAGAAGATAATTCACTGTTACAAGTGCAAGGAGGCGGGACATATGAAGCGAGACTTTCCAAAGTTGAAAAAGCAGACCGATGAGAAGTGTGATGACTCATCCAAGTCTGTGAATGTGGTCGAGGATGACAATTCTGATTGCAGTGAGGGTGATATGCTCTCTATTTCAACGACTCAATTGACAGATGCTTGGATTCTTGATTCTAGATGTTCTTAACACATCACGCCAAATAGGGAATGGTTTTCGACATACAGGTCCCTTAATTCTGGTTCTATTTATTTGGGCGATGATCAATGTTGTAATATTGTTGGTATTGGCGATGTCAGAATTCAGATTTATGATG